ACGCCACAAGCGTTGCATTCATGTCGATTTATGTATAAACACAATCCAATTCGCACATGTTAGTAGGTACACAGTAAAAAAAAACATTTTGTATTTGTGTTAGAAATGGTCCACTCATGTTCTTGTTAACAATTTTGTGTTGAATTTTTAACATATCTGAATGTTAATTTAATATAATGTGATAGTACTATTTGAATATTTTGTGTTAAATTGATATTCTCAATATTTCCTAGTGTTAAAATAACACAATTTATATAAGTGAATAACTAATACAAAAATGTTTTTTATGTAAATTCAAAAAAAAATAAATAAAATGTGTTAATTTAATATATTTAAACCTAATTTAACATATTCATAATTGTTAATTTAAACGAAAAAATATAATCGCTTACAAATTGTGTCAGTGTCACGTTTTTTCTGTTAATTTTTAATATTTGTGTTACTTTTTAACATATTAATTTTAAATTAACACAAAAATTTGAAAGGACATGTAAAATGTGTTAAATTTAACCAATTGTTAACCAAATTTTCCAATTGTGTACATCTGCAGCTTTCTCATAATCAACGAAAAATCCAGTATCAAATATCTTGGCACTTGATCACTATGAGATAGCGTAATCCATAATCTGTATTATTTCGCGAGTTATCAGAAATGATTCCAAAAAACCTGAAACGGAATTTGCGGCTTTCGCGCGTAATCAGTCTGATTGGAAAGAGCTGCTGTTCTATCAGAATAGAATGCAAATCCCGGAAGTCTCGTAATTCGGTCGTAGTGTCTTCGCACCAGATCACCCGGTAGAACTCCATAGGCACGAGTAGGCTATTACCTAACTCTCGCGTAGTTGCGTATACAGAAAGCAAGATAGCCAGCCGATGGGGCTGCGGCGTATATACTCGGGCTCCACAGTTACGTATCTAGAAGCTTGCCACCGCTGCTACTGCGCCGTTTGGTCCGGGGCGGGTAGGTACCGTATTATATACGTAGTGAGGGCTGGAGGGTCCTCACCGCCGCAACATTACGCTGATTGCCTGAATTATCCGCAACCAGCCTGCCTATGCTCTCTGTTATGTACAAGTCTGTATATACCAAGCGGCTCGGTGTGTGTGTGTGTATATGTGTGTGTGTGTGTGTGTGTGTGTGTGTGTGTGTGTGTGTGTGTGTGTAAATGTGTGTATGTATGCCTTTCGTATTTATATATATATCTGGATTCATATATATGTATATATCTATATAATGCATATAT